GGAGTGTTCATTTTTCTCCACATCCTCTCCAGCATAGATTGTCATTGGTATTTTTGATTTTAGCCATTCTGACAGGTGGGAGGTGGTATCTCAGAGTTGTTTTGAGTGGCATTCTCTGATGGCCAAGGATTTTGAGCACTTTCTTAAGTGTCTTTCAGCCATTTCAGATTCCTCTGTTGAGAATTCTCTATTTAGTTCTGCACCCCACTTTTTAATTTCATTGTTTGGTGTTTTGGTGGCTAGCTTCTTGAGTTCAATGTATATTTTGGAAATCAGTCCTCTGTCAGATGTGGGATCGGTGAAGATCTTTTCCCATTCTGTGAGCGGTCGTTTTGTCTTACTGACTGTGTCCTTTGCCTTGCAGAAGCTTCTCAGTTTCAGGAGGTCCCATTTATTAATTGCAGATCTCAGTATCTGTGCTACTGGTGTAATGGAAACAGCTTCCTAAACTTTATGCCAGTAGCACAGGTCATTGATTTTTTTTAATGAGCATTTTTATTGCTGTTGTTAGATTTTGTTAGACTCATACTTAAAGTATTTCATTTTCTTTGGAATGATTGTGAAAGTCATTGTGTATTTAATGTGGTTTTGCATATTCCCTACTTACCTTACCAATGTGCCTGGAGTTTTTGTGAGTTGACTAATTTGTAAGTTCCAGATGTTTGTTTGTTTATGTCCTCCATGAATCCCCTATCTTGAAATTATTTTAATAAAAAATAGGGTAGTTTTTTCTTTGTACTTTTCAAGGATATAAATTTTAATCTTTCACAGTTGGGCTCATTTTAGCTGCTGCTCCTAAGTTTTTGTGATTTTTTTGCCATTAAACAAATACACTTAAAAATTTTCATCGCATTTATCAATTATATATTATTAGTGGGGTTAGTCACGATATTGAAATGCATGCATATTGATGCATCCATCTATCTCCAGCCTCCTAGAGAGTGTGAGGCATTTGAAACACACATTTCCCCTACCATTTAATGACATAGTTCTAAATAATTTGTATGTAAGTGATGCCTGTTAACATTTCCCCATAACATTGCCGTTCTCCAAACCTATATAGTGCAATATCTCTTTTGCTTTGGCTTCTAGGTATTTGGTCCATCGGGAATTTTGAAAAAAGCCATCTCCATTGCTGAGAATGAAGAATGGAAGAGAATCCGAGCATTGCTGTCTCCAACCTTCACCAGTGGGAAGCTCAAGGAGGTAATGAAGCCATAAGCTCGTCATTGGAAACATGAAGAACACATCTGGGGACAGGGAGAGTGGAAGACCACAAGCTTTTCCAAGCAGTGTCGTTTGAGTTGAAACTTCCTAAGAATGTCCCTTTGTGTTGATGGGATCTTTTGTTTTGTCCGTGGGAAAGCTGTGTCCACTGGGAACTGAGTCCTTCATCTCATTACGGATGGTATTTTGTTTTGTGTATAGATGCTCCCCATCATTAACCAGTATGCAGATGTGTTGGTGAGAAACATGAGGCAGGGATCAGAGAATGGGAATCCCATCAGCATGAAAGAGTAAGTGCTAGCCCAGCTGTTGGGTGCTGGGTTGTTGTGTTAATTACTTTTCTGTTGCTGTGACAAAAGATCAACAAAAGCAACTTAAGGAAGACAGGCTTCATTTTGGCTTAGTTCTAGAGGGATTCCATACATCACAGCATGGAGACAAGGTGGCCTGGGCAGGAGGCCAGGCTATGCAGACTCAAGGTCTGCCCCAAGTGACCTACTTCTTGTAATGAGGCTCTACCTCTAAGTTTCCACATTTTTCCGAGACAGTGCCACTAACTGGAGACCAAGTGTTCAAACACATGATACTCTGGGGGAGGGGGGGAGGTGTTGCAATTCATATCATAAAAATAGTCCTAGGAGACACAATAACTGCCAGCTGTGGAGTTGAAGTTTTCATTGTTAAGTTACTCAAAAGTGGGTTGTATGGTGTTTCAACTGATTACAACAGCTCAGAGTACTACTGGAGTTGAGGCCAGAGGAAACTGGAGGTATCCCTGTAGCAGCATAGGACTGTAATGGGCCTCCCTGCAAAGCGCTATCTCCTATGACAGTGTGACTTATGGAGAACAAGTCTCACCTCTGTATATAGGATCCATTATTGGGTTGTCTACTCAATTGTTGTTTTTGAAATTCTAGAGAAAAAGATAATTTAGAAAGAAGAAACATTATCTAAACAAATTTGTTAAGTGTTGATTCAGTAGGAAAGAGCAGAGAAAGTACTTGGCACTTATTAAGATGCTATATGAGTACCAGGAAAGTTAAAATGTCCAACAATTTATATTCCATCATAAAATTTCTGAGACTATCAGTGAAATACTTAATCTTTCTTTGGGCTGGCAAGATAGTTCAGTGGGTAAAGGCACTTGCCACCAAGGTGATAACCTGAGTTAGAACCCTGGGATCCACACGGTAGAGGGAGAGAATTGACATCTACATTGAAGAACAAAATAAAATGAATATATACATGCTTAATATTTAGCTTATCCTTTTCATACTTACACAGTTTAGGACTGAACCCATGTCTTAGTTAGGGTTTCAGTTGCTGTGAGGAGACACCATGACCATGACAACTCTTATAAAGGAAAACATTTAATCCGGTGGCTTACAGTTCAGAGGTTTAGTCCATCATCATCATGGTGGGACATGGTGGCATGCAGGAGGACATGGTTCTGGAGAGGTGGCTGAGAGTTCTACATATTACATAGGCAACAGGAAGTGAACTAATTGAATTGGGTAGAATCTTGAGCATAGGAGACCTGAAAGCCCATCCTCAAAGTGACGTATTTTCTCCAGCGAGGCCACACCTACTTCAACAAGGCCACACTTCCTAATAGTGCTACTTCCCTATGAGCTTATGGGGGCTAATTACATTCATACCACCACACCCAGTGAATGCTGCCATCCATAGTGGATAATCTCTCCCCACATCAATTAACACAATCAAGGCAACACCCCACAGGCATGTCCAACTTGCTATAAACAATTCCTTCTTGAGAGTTTCTTCCCAAGCAATTCTAGATTAGATCATTTTGATAATTAAAACTAACCATCATAGTATCCATGTCACCCCACAGCGCAAAGACAGGCACAACACTGTCACCTGATAAAACTCACAATAAAGTATGATACAAGCAAGGGCATCATAGAAAGGGTTTCTGTGTGGCCCTATGACTGGCTTGGATGGATATAGGAATTTACTCATTCTTCACATCTTATGTACCTTAGGTGGAGTAGGAAGAGGTGTAGCTGTTAATTTCCATCTCTCTTTCTCCTCAGCATCTTTGGAGCCTACAGCATGGATGTGATCACTGCCACATCATTTGGAGTGAATGTTGATTCTCTCAACAATCCTCAGGATCCTTTTGTTGAAAAAATCAAGAAGCTCTTAAAATTTGATGTCTTTGACCCATTGTTCCTCTCAGTGAGTACGTGACCTAATATTTTATTCTTTCTGTCTTTTAAAATAACACTGTAGAGAGATATAATCCACATATGTTGCAAGTAGCCCCTTTAAACAGGCTGATGGTTTTCAGTATATGTGAAATATTTTCAGCTATCACTGTTGTCAGCTGTGGGATGTTTTTGTCATCTCAGAAACTCTGTACTTTTAATGGTCAACTTCTTACCTCCCTCAGGAACAAGCAACAAGTAAATCTATTTTCTAACTGCACAGATTTGCCCATTCTGGATTATCTGTACAAATAGAAGAATGTAATGTCACCTTTTTGTTTCTGGCTTTCAAGATAGTATGTTTTAAAAGTTCATGCATCTTGAAGAGGGTATTAGTATTTCATGGCAGAATTATATTCCTTTATTTAAGATTCATTTATTTATGTATGTAAGTGCTGTATTTATGTGCATACCTGCATACAGAAGTGGGCATCAGATTTCATTATAGATGGTTGTGAGCCACCACGTGGTTGCTGGGAATCAAACTCAGGACCTTTGGAAGAGCAACCAGTGCTCTTAACTGCTGAGCTAGCTCTCCAGCCCCTCATATGCCTTTGTATTGGCATGCCATTTCTATCTGTTTGGCATTTTAGGCTGCTGTGAATAGTGCTGCTATGCATATTCTTTTGCTTGTGTTTCAACACATGTTTTCATTTGATTTTGGATGTATACCCAAGGGGAAGTACTGAGTTATATAGCAATGTCTAATATAATGTGCCGAACTAATTAAGGACGTGTCTTTAATCACAAAAGGGTGTTGGCTCTTTTCCAATGTTTTATTTTGTATCTATTCATCTGTTGTGTGCATTTTCATGAGATGAATCCTACCTAGTTAGGGTAATATAACTTGTCTTATAGTCACTTGATTCAGTATACAATATTGTGTTGAAAATCTTGCAGTCACATTTACAAGTGATGCTGCTTTGCAGTTTTCTTTTCCTGCAAGATATTTGTCTGGTCTTAGTATTAGAGCACCACCTTATGGAGAATTTTGGAGATGTTTTCATGTTTGTTCTATATTTTGGAAGTGGTTGGGAAGGAATGGCATATGCTTTTCTTGAAATATTTAGTAAAATTCAGCATCAAAAGCTTTTGGTTTGAGGCTTTACTTGTGGATAGCATTCTTTTTAAAATCAGGAGCACTTTTAATTCTGTATATAAGGCAAGGTAGGAGGAGACAAAGATTAAGTATGATCCTGGAACACATTTACATGATAATCTCCTTTTTATCATAGTTCTCCATTTTCTTTAGGCTGTGAGAAATTCTATGGGTTTCTGTGTATTTGCTTTGTAACAAATAATCTCTCATTTTGTTATACATGTTATTATGCATGGTATTGCATTTCTTTTTGAGTCAGTTTCTATAATTTATGTATTTCTAGGAATTGGTACATTCTAGTCAAGTTGTATAACTGAGGCTATTGTCCGAGTCCTCCAGTTATTAGGAGGGTTCCTTTATGTGCCCGTGTGTTTCTCATGCCATTGTTCTCCTCTCACTTCACTCTGCATGCCAGCAATCTGATCCATCTGTCTAATATAGAACAATACCAGTTAACATTTTGCCAACTCTGAAGATATTTTCAAAGAAGCATCTTTTGTTTTCATTGATTTCCTTCATGTTTTTTATTTCATTAGTTTGAACTTTGGTCAGTAGTATCTACTCTCTCTCTGCCTAAAGTGTGTTTTCTCCTCTCTTTTAGTGGCACATGCTATAAAGTATTGTTATGTGAGATCATCTTTTCCTCAATACCTGTATATTCCCTTCTGGGTATTGTTTTGTCTCCATCTTATAAAGATTTCTTTATTTTTGTGTTTTGGTTAATGTCATCATCATCATTGTTATTGTTATTTATGTGTGTGTGTGTGTGTGTGTGTGTGTGTGTGTGTGTATGTGTATTCATTTGTAGGTGGGTAGGTGCACTTGTGTGTGTGGGTGTACACAAGTAGGCAGAGGTCAGGCTCTCTCACTGGCCTGGAACTTCACCAATTTGACTAGCCATTAAGCTTCCAGGAATTCACTGTCTCCAGCTCTCATGTTGCCATTGCTGAACCACTGCACTTGGCTTTTAACATGGGTTCTGGGAACCGAACACAGGTCCTCACATTTGCAAAACAAACACTTTACCCATTGAGCTACCTCTCCAGCCTTGAAAACTCTTTCCTGAGCACCTTGATTAATTGCAGCACTGGATTGAAGTCTGATCTACCCAAAAAGACCTTAGTCCAACATGTCAAGAGTGAGAAGTCAGGGAATTTAACCCTGAAACTATGAGTCAAGAGCCATTGATATCACCTCTATGCTGGTGGTCATACATTGACACACCATTTCCCAGCCAGTGGCCTGGAACCTGAGCAACAGGGAGAGTGAGTTGAGATCCTGCTAACTTTTATTGCTCTGAATGTTGAATAAATGTAATCATTCCAGGTAAAATTTGCATTTTCACCACGGATTCTCTTTTCTTTCCCTTCTAGCACTCTTTCCATTCCTTACCCCAGTATTTGATGCTGTAAATATCTGCATCTTTCCAAAAGATGTCATAAACTTTTTTAAAACCTCTGTGCAACGAATGAAAGAGAATCGCCTACAAGAGAAAGGAAAGGTAATAACTGCTCACATGAGGAATTTCATTGACTGATAATGTGTTTCTTCCTCTCTATAAAAATATATACACACACACACACACACACACACACACACACACACACACACACTTACTCTGCATCTTTAAAAACTACATGGAGGAGTATAGGTTAAGGACAGGGGTTTTTTGATATTTTGAAGGAATGAAGAGTGTAGTGGTTGGGAATAGAAAAATAAAATAAGCCAGAGAAAGCATTTAAAATTAATAATTGTGGCTGACACTTAGAGTACCACAGAATAAATACTTTGAGGCAAGAATTTCACAGCATGCTAGTAAAAAGAGATTTCTTGCATACGATTTGTGGGGATGTAAATTAGGGAATTATGGAAAACTATATGGATATATCTCAAAAAAATCAAACTGTTATTTTTTTTTCAGTGCTGGGGATAAAACCCCGGCCCTTACACATGGCCAGCAACATATTATTCTTGAACAATGGCCCAAGTTGCCCTGGGTATCTACTTAATCCTATTTTAGAGTTTCATATTGGGAACAAAGTCTATGACTTTGATGTTGGACCAGAAGATCCCAATGGAGAAACTATTATTATTATTTTGGTTTTTACCTGCTTCTGCCTCCTGATTGCTGTGATTAAAGGCATACACCACCTTGCCCAGCTAGAAACAAACATACATACATACATACACACATACATACATACATACATATATACATACATTTTGTTTTGACTTAGACCTTCTTTATTCTCCCCCCCTTTTTTATTATTAATTCAAGTTAGGGAACAGGCTTGTTTCACATGTAAGTCCCCTCTCCCTCCTCTCACCCCCACTCTCCTCCCCCACCTCCAACCTACCGCTCACCCCATCCACCACCACTCCCCAGGCAGGGTAGGGCCCCCAACAGAGGCTCCATTATGTCCATCAAATCTTCCTGTGTTGGGCCTAGGCCCCTCCCCATGTGTCCAGAGACAGAGCGCATCCCTTCACGTGGGATGGGCTCTCAAAGTCGTCGTCGTTGTCCCCCCCTCCCCCCACACACACCAGGGAAAAACGCCAGTCCACCTCCATAGGCTCCCCGGAGTGCAGGGGCCTCCCCATTGGCATCCATGATCAGGGGGCTGGATCAGTCCCGCACTAGCCTCCCAGACAGCGTCTGGGGTTGATATGTTTTCCCTTTTTCAGGCCAACTGTTTCTGTGGGTTTCTCCGATATGCTTTCCCTTTTTCAGGCCAACTGTTTCTGTGGGTTTCTCCAACCTGGTACAGATCCCTTCCTCCCTCTCTTCAACTAGGTTCCAGATTTCAGCTCAGTGTATTTCTGTGGATGTCTGTCTCTGCTTCCATCAGCCACTGGATGAGGGCTCTAGGATAGCATAGAGAGTAGTCATCAATCTCATTCTAGGGGAAGGGCTTCTAGACTATCCTCTCCTCCACTGCCTGGACTGTCAGCAGGAACAACCATTATTAATGACTCATTTCTTCAAGGATTAAGTCTCCAGTGATCTGAGTTCACATGAGAGGAAAAAGATGAGCAAAAAGCAAAAAATAGAACTCCCATATGATCCAGCCATCTTCCTGCTGGTTATATAATGATGTAAGCTTGTGTGGGAGACATTTGTATTCCTATGCTCATTGAAGCCATTCAAAAAATTCCAAAAGCTATAGAAGAAGGGACTTAGAAAGTTCTCATTTTAACCTGATGCAAGCAACATTTAATTTATGCATGCGTCAAAATTTAATTTCATTCTATTTTATAAGCCATTTAATGTAAATTTAAAAGACAATGGGACAAAATTACCACCTCCCTTTCCAGAAAGGACAATGATTCTACTTAAAAATTATTTCCAGTTACTTAATTCCCCAGACTGACAAGAAACCATTTCATCTCCAAGCTTATTATTTTACACATTTTCAAAAAAAGAGTCATTTTATTCTATCCAGCATAGCTTAGTCTGCTTTATTTTTAATTTTTATTTTTTTGAGATAGTCTTGCTCTGTAGCCCATGCTTGCCTCTCTTGGTCATTCTGCTTCCAAGTTTCAAGCGTAAGGATCATGGTTTGAGATTAAGATGGGAGGACACAAGATTGAAGTCCAGAACTTCTAACTGTGTAAGCACACACGTGAAGGGAAGGGACTGACCTGGACTGTTCAGAAGCCAGAGAACTCAGGGTCAACGTCAGGAAATACCAGAGCCATTGGACACATACCTAGTGTTCACTCAGGAAAGCATCCTGCTCTCCAAAGCGTGTGTATGGACATTTTGGTTTATCATTTGAAAGGTTCAGGCTTTGACGATGATCGGCTCTACCTCCTTAAGAGACAGACCCCGCCCCCTGACACAGTTGGGCACAGGAAAACTTGCTAAGTCATTGCCATATCACCCACCATGCATTAAGGCCTGCTGAGGACTTTGGGCATGTGTGGAACCTCAGTGCGCATGCGCAGTCTTCCCTTTAAAAGCTCTAACTTCTCTCTCTGCTTCCTCTCTTTATGACACTCTCTCTCTGCTCACTCCTTCTCTGCTCTTCTCTTCTCCCACCTATGAGATCTCTCTGCCTCTCTATGGCGACCAGCCATAGCGGTCAGCCATTACCCTTGTTCCTCTCCTCTCTTAGTCTCCCTATTCTGCTGGGCCATATAATAAACTAGTGAACATGTCTCATCTTGAAGCTTTCTCTTTTCCTCTTTTTAAATAAAGACATGCCATCATTGACTTTGGGGATCCTAGTCAAACTTCTGGACTTTCAGTAAGCACTATTCTCAGAATGGTGGCTAGCTCTTCACTTGTCTGACCACTTAACTGAATCTCACTTGAACCTTTCAACATTATTTTCTCTCAGCAAAGAGTGGATTTCCTTCAGTTGATGATAAACTCCCAGACTTCCAACGTTAAGGATTCTCACAAAGGTAAGCAAGGATGTTTCATGTTTATTGATGGGAATCTCAGAGTGAAGGGTTTGTCTTGGAAATATGCAGGAGGCTTTTCAAACAAACAATTCTAACCCCTTCTAAAAGAAGAAGAAAAAAAACCCAACCCAATCCACAGATGTAGACAGTATCCAGAGGAGCTTTCTAGAAGCAGTGGATTATAACTGTGATCAAAACCTTAAGGGCAGCCATGCACATGCAGTTCAGGGACTGCAGGTCATCGGTGATCTCTGCATCTGGTCCCACAGAACAAAAACTGGCAGGGTCTGTCTAGACACACTGAGTCAAAAGCTCTGTCTGGAGATTCGTATGTAGACTTCCAGTCAGAGGACAGCCCCATGGTGGTGATGGTCATTGGAAACCTGGGATGAATGTTTACCCAGATCTTGATTGACAGCCAAGCTTTGATTTCCCGTGTAGTTGATCTGGAACACATGGAGAAAGCCTTGGGATTAAGCACATATCCCACTACTCTTACTAGTTTTTCACCTACTCATTTTCCCATCTGGGTGGCTGTGATAGTTGAAGGATGATGGCTTTCTAATTCCACCCTGTCCTATGCAACTAGGAGTTATGTTCCATGTAAGAGAGGGGCAAGCTGCCTGTTTTCTGTTTTATTTTTCTTTTTCCTCCTTTTTGTACTCCTTCCCTACCTCCTTCCCATCCTTGTTCTTCCATAACTCCTCTTCCTTCTCCTTCCCTCTCCTACTCTTCTTCCTCCCCCTCTCTCCCCTTTCTCTTTTTTCTCCTGCCTCTCATCTCCTCCTGGATAATCTCACAAATTAATTCTGTTCCCTCACTATCATTACTTATTTTGACACTCAGATTCATTCAGGCGTGTCCATTGAATAAGTCTTTCATATGGGCACCCAAGTTCTTTTTTTTATTTTTTTTGGAAATCATACTATAATCACAACATTTATCCCTTTCCTTTCTCTAAAGCCTTCCACATACTCCTCCACACTCGTTTAACTTCATGTTCTTTTTCCATTCATTGTCATCGAATGCATATTATGTATATATATTCCAAAATATAATTGACTTTGTCTGTATAATGTTATACATTTGTACACTTTCAGGGTTAGCCACTCGATACTGAATAACTGCTCTTCCTTGGAAAAGACTCTTCCTCTCAGCATTCCTTAGCTGCCTGTAGTTCTGTGTGTAGGGTTGAGGCCTCATGGACTTTCCCATCCACTTTGGCACGTCAATTGGTGTCATCCTTGTTCAGCTCATATTTAGACATTCATGCTGTTTAGACTTTATGGGTATTGCTTCTGACATTACTAGGAGACACATCTCACAGAACACTTCCGGATCTTCTGGCTCTTACAGTTTTCCTGCCCCCTCTTCTTCAATGTTCCCTGAACCATAGGTGTGGGAGTGTTTTGTAGATATATCCACTGGGGCTGGGATCCACAGCAGTATTGGCACACATACCTTGGCAGTAACCAACAGCTCTCTAATTGGACTTAAGATCTGCTCAACAACAGGGAAACTGTGCCTGGTACTAAAAACCCAGCTAACTTCTCCCTGCTAGTGAGGTCAAGGATCTTAGAGGAGAATCAACAACCACTACTTTAGTAAACCATCACAATCCTTAACAAGATGAATGGGTATAAGGATACCTATTACCTCTCATTAAGAACCTTCTCTTTGCATCAGAGTTCTTTCTTATTCTCTAATTTTATGTATTTAAAAAGTAGTTTACAGATTTTAGAGAAATTATAGGCTCACAGTCAATTTCAGCTGAATTTAAAATGCTTGCCTGCCCCATCACCTGTACAGCCTCCCATTCCTTTTAGGACAAATTTTAGAATTCACTTATTTTGTTTGTGTCTGTGGGCATGCACATGCAATGGTGTGCATGTGAGGCCAGAGGACACCTTCCACAATTCTGTTCTCTCCTCCCACCTTTTGGGTTCTGGGTATGGAATTCAGTTCATCAGGCTTGACAGCAGGCCCTTTATCTGCTGATCTATCTTGCTGTACCACCATACTCTCCCATTTTTGATATTCACCAATGGAGTAGTGTGTTGGTTATGAGCATTGAACCTACATGCTCATATTATCCCAGAAAATGCAAAGTTATAATTAGGACTCATTCTTGGTCTTGTTCATTGCATGTGATTCATGCCTGATAACCATGGGCAAGTTTATACTTGACTGGCTAGTTTATAGTTTATGGGAAGGTAACATGAATCATTGTGCATGCAATTTCCGTTTTTAATCTCTGCCCTGTAAAGAACAACCATGTAACTAAGGAGCACACAAATAAGGGAAGTCCTGTTGGTTTAAGTTCAGCCTTAGTAAAAATCTTGGATCTTAGGGAACAGGGCTGCAGTTCACACTGTCAGAGCTCATCACTCCACAGAAGCAATCTATCTGGAGTTGATGCTCCTTCCATTTGAGATTAAAGAATTCTCTAAGGAGGATCCACTTATTAGAATATTGCTAGTCATTGCTCTTTAAATAAAAAGAATTATCTTATAATTTATCTATGTGTATGGCTGTCTTGGAACTTGCTGTATAGACCAGGCTGGCCTTGAACTCAGAGATCCACCTGCCTCTGCCCCCTGAGTGCTGGGATTAAAGGCGTGCTTTAATCTACATCCTTAACAGGCTGAGCCATTTATCCAGCCCATCGCTCAATACTCTGTAGCTGTTCCTTTTTCTCTGTAGCTTCTCTAACTTCTGAATTGCATTTTAAAGATTGGTAATACTTGTTTGTCCAATGAATTATAAATACCACAGCTCATGAAAGTTTCGACACTGATCAGGGAGATGTGGAGTGGGTTTGAGATGCTACAGTACTGAGAACTTCTAAAATGTTGCTACTGGTTCACAGATCACACTTTGAGTAGCTTTAATATCACTGCCTCAGGTTTCTTAAGACCTATGTAGTTCATAGATCTGCTAATGTTCCATGCACTCAAATCTTTCTATTTCATATTCACTCAAAGCGTTTCACGCTAAGTTTTAGGCAGAATAACTTAACTTTTCTTAAGGAGAACGACATCATATATTTTATGTATATGAAGAGGATTTCCTAGGGCTGGGGTAATGGCCCAGTAGGTAAGAGCACTTGTTTTGTAAACATGAAGACTTTAGTCTGGAACCCCAACACCCACATAAAGAGATGGGCATGGCTACATGTGCCCACATAGCCCCAGATTCAGAGGGTAGAAACAGGAACACACAGAACTCAGTGGCCAGCCAAACTAGCTGAAATGAGGAGCTTCTAGTTTAGTAAGAGACCCTGTTCCATAACAGTGACACAAAGAATGATGGAGAAAGACACCAGAAGTCCTGCTCTGAACCCCTGTCCACACACACCTGCACACCTATGTCCGACCTGTATACATCATACACTTAAAAATTGAGCAGATTGAAAATTAAAGTATGCAGTATCAGCTTGCCAGTAAACGATCAGTTATGACTTCTGTTCTTACACAGAGACAAAACAAAAACTGAGCAAAACATGGTAGATTTCTAATTATCTGCAGGGCACACTAAAGAAACTGTGTACATGAGACAGAAATGCTTCCTCTTGAGGTTGCTCAGTTGTGGAGCTGTTGAGGAAGTCAGATGTTGAGGATGTCAGATGTCAAGAGGAGTGTAGACCTTAGGAAACTGGGCCAAAGTGACTTTCCCATTTCAATCCCTTGTCAGACCAACATGAGAATGAAAACCATGCCCACTTTGACTCTGAATTGCTTTCTCATGATCTTCTTAGGGATTTGGGATATTTATTTGTGTTGTTTTTCATCCAAATAATGATTTTTAAGTACTGATCTCCTTTACTTAAAGTGTATCTATTGGGCCAGCAATATAGGTCAGCAGAATTGATACCCAGCCAAAGACCTGAGTTCAAACCTCAGGAACCAAATGTTGCAAGGAGAGAACTCACTCCTGCAAGCTGTCCTCTGACTCTCACAAGAACGCTATGACACACTCCTTTACACACACACACACACACACACACACACACACACACACACACACACACACTAAAATATAATGTATTTCCTTTCCCATTAGCTTTATCTGACCTGGAGATTGTGGCTCAGTCAGTTATCTTTATTTTTGCTGGCTATGAGACCACTAGCAGCGCTCTTTCCTTTGCTTTGTACTCACTGGCCACCCACCCTGATGTCCAGAAGAAACTGCAGGATGAAATTGATGCAACTCTGCCCAATAAGGTGAGGGGATGGGACCTGGAGAGGGAGAAAGGGAAGAGGAGACATATTGGCATGACTGGTTCCTTATCACATCCAGTGGGAATTTTTCAACAAAGTGATAAGCATTGATTCCTTCACCACCTTTATTTAAGAAGATTCTGAAGAGAGAAATTAATGGGAAACAGGCACTGGCTGCTGCCTTTAGGAAAATAACATCTTTGCAGATGAATGTTGGTACAGCTTTATCCATTATCTGTTACCAAAAACTGCCAAGAAACAACTACAAAATTACAGTGGCATGGAAGTGTGAGTATTGGTTAGTCAAATGTTTGGGTAGTCAGCTCTGTGGATGTTGTGGGGTGTGCTGTTACCTGTTATTGGCTGAGTGTGACTGGCCTTGCCTGGGCTGGGTTAGGCAGATTGTTTTAGCTCAGCCCCACAATCTCTCTCCACTCATAGGTGGCCTGAGTCAAACTCTTAACCCTATGTTGTGGTCTGTTCAAAAGTCCCATAAAGTAATAGTCAGACATTTCCCACATTGGTTTTTACAACTCTGCTCAAAGTGGGAGACTGTGGGGTGTGAAGTCATACGGTCTTTGGAGAGGTCTGTCTGGTTTATCATTCTCTTCAGAGCTCACAGGTAAGCCCTGAAGGAACAGCCAGCAGGCTGGACCAGCAACAGAGAATGCAGCTGACTTATGGATTCTGTTCTCATTGTGAGTTTTACCAGGGTTGAAATTGAGCATTTTGTCATCTTTAGTATAGAAGAGTCTTTTGTTGTCTTTAGTATAGAAGAGACAACTAATACCTCCTCAGATATTTGAAATTTTATCGTACTCAATGCTTCCTAATTTTACATATAATTAAAGAATGGCCACATGAGATATTTTCACATAAGTACAATAGGGGGTTTTCTTCTTCCCATGTTTAGGTACCTTCAAGTACATGTGTGTGGTCTCTCTGTGGAAAGGTAACTTAAGTGTGTCAAGTTGTTGTTGACTCTAATTATCATGATCTGCTAGTTACGGTTCCTCACATAAGAAAGAAAAAGTAGTATATAGTAATACTGAGGATTTTAGGTCCTGGGTGTGGATCTGTCACAAAGTCTTCCCATATTTCATAATTACCCTACATTTCTTACAGGTGCATTGAGCAGGTTGAAGTTTCAGTTAATAATACCCTTTGTAAATGCTAAGGTCTTTCACCAATGTGAGTTTTTCTTTGGTAGCGTAACCCCCTAGTAGTTTTCCACAGAGGAAAGTTAGTTCAAAAATCTTAATTTACAAAAATCTTTCTCACCCTTTTCAGGTACCTGCCACTTATGATACCCTGGTCCAGATGGAATATCTTGACATGGTGGTGAATGAGACTCTCAGATTATATCCAATTGCTGGAAGACTCGAGAGGGTCTGTAAGACCGATGTTGAAGTCAATGGGGTGCTCATTCACAAAGGGACTGTTGTGATGGTACCAATCTTTGTTCTTCACAAAGACCCAAAGTACTGGCCAGAGCCTGAGGAGTTCCGCCCTGAAAGGTACAGGGATGTGGGAAAGATGAACTACTGAGGACTGGACTAGTCCAAGCATCATGTGCTGTCTCTTGTATTGAAGACACATATGCAGCAATAACAGTCTGTCTCTGTATCTACTTATCATGTATCTATCTGTTTATCTACCTTTTCAAACTTTTAAGGCAAGAGTAGCATCTGTCACAATGTCCTCAACACTATCTTATTTTATGCATTAGTCTGTTCTTCCCTAGGTTTTTCTTGCTGTTACCTTTAGCTCCTCCCATCACCTTCAGAGAATATTTACATTTTCCATTTGACTAGATTTTGCCTCCTGGGTCCTCCAGTGTGGCTATAATGGTGTCATCTGAGGGCCTTGTTTGCAGCTCTGTGGAGGACAGAGGAGACCACAGGTCCTTCCATTCCTGCTTCTTGTCCTGGCCACTTTCTTACCCTATGTGAATTTTCCAAAGCCATGTATCCTGCAGTCAAAATAACATCCTTATGTTGAAGCTTGCTCAAGCAGGCTCTTCTGGGGACCTGAAGGCAAGGTCAGGCTTCAGTCACAGTTCTACAGTCTAATTGTTTTCTTGGCAAGCAAAATAAAGAATGGTGTTTTTAGGGCAGAGGCTAGTAAGCCTAAAGAATTAGGATTTGGACATTCATTGCTTCTAGTTATGTACCACCTGATTTCTGGTACTTTATGTTGTTGGCCATGATGTGCCATCTAGACACCAATAAGTCTATGTATAGTACTTGCTGAAGAAGTTAACCAGAGCTCATCAGTTCTTCTATTTTCTAGATGAGATGACTTCTGTGTTCTTTTCAGTCTCAGCAATTACTCCTTCTATAGCTTTGTGACACACAAACAATTGACTGTACTTTTATTATACTCATTTAATAATGAGACAGTCTGTGTTTTCTGTGTATGAGGGACTACCCCAAACACTAATCAATCATTATGTTGATAAATGTCTACAACAAAGAATGTTTGACAAAGTCACAAGGGTACTGTGTACAAATCAATATCCACAGCATTCTCAGTGGAATTCGATGTGACGGGCAACCATTCATCCATGTGTGGTGTTTATTCACACGCCCCATAACCTTCATTATGTTTTTGGAAATATAATACTCTTATATACATCAAAAAATTTCCAAAACATTAAAAAAACAGCTTAAAACAAAAAAAAGTCACATTGCATTTACTGTTTTTCTAGAAATCAACAATTTTTTCCCCTTAGGTATCATTTTATACCCAAAGAAACACATAGAGAGATTTTTATATCCAAAGGAAAACATAGAGAAATAATTTAATAGAGTAACATTGCATGTCTATTCAAATGATCTGACTTAAGAAGGAAGGGAAGAGCAAGAAGAAAAAGAAGGAGGAGGAGGGGGAAGTAAAGGGAGACTAGAAAGGACATAAGGAGGAAGGAAGGAAAAGGAAGTGGAAGAAAAAAGGAGAGGGGGAAAGAGGAAGGGAAGAGAAGGACAGAGGAAGAGAGGATGGGAAGTTGGGAGGAACAGAGTGAGAGAAAGGGAATGTAAGCAGTAAAGGAAATAAATAAGAGGAAGAAGGTAGAAAAAGAATAACAGAGAAGAAAGAGTAAGGAAAACAACTTCAGGAATGATGAGTATTTTATCCTCTCACTTCATTGGGTTTTAGTTCAGCTAATAGCATACTTTCCTGTAATTGGTCTTATTTCCTATGTCTCAGAGAATCACACTAAATGCAACGGTCATGTATAAAGATGAATGTTCTTTTAAACAGCAGTAACCTCATATCAATATGACTGAAAGCTCCTCCATTGTAAAGCAAGATGGAAGATTTGTAACTTGTATAATTCCTAAGGCATACCATCCACTCTGAGGCCCAGAGAACACCACAGAAGAGGAGTGGAAAGACTGACAGTCCAAGAATGGGGAGGGGCGGCGGCGGCCTTGGCAGAAGGAGAGGCGGTGGAGAGAGCCTGGCTACAGCGAAATGGCAGAGACGGAAGCGGACACCCGGCGGCTGATCACCAAGCCGCAGAACCTGAATCAACGTGAGCAACCTGCTGACCATGGGGGTCGGCGGGGGCCGCTTCACCACCTACGAGATCAGGGTCAAGACAAATCTTCCTGTCTTCAAGCTGAAGGAATCTACTGTGAGAAGAAGATACAGTGACTTTGAATGGCTTCGAAGTGAACTAGAAAGAGAGAGCACGGTTGTAGTTCCCCCACTCCCTGGGAAGGCGTTTTTGCGGCAGTTTCCTTTTAGAGGAGACGATGGAATATTTGACGACAATTTCATCGAGGAAAGGAAGCAAGGACTGGAACAGTTTATAAACAAGGTCGCTGGTCATCCCCTGGCCCAGAATGAACGTTGTCTTCACATGTTTTTACAGGATGAAATAATAGATAAAAGCTATACTCCATCTAAAATAAGACATGCCTGAGTTTGGAAAGAAGAGGCAAACACGAGACCATTAATGATTGATCCACACCAATGAAGAAGTTGTAACTAACGTAGCATGCTGCAGACACTGGTCTAACATGCCCTGGGTATACTAACACTCAACGCTCCCTCCCTTTCATTTCTCTTTCTTTTGCCAGTCGACAAAAAGTTCATTTGTTTTAGTGAAAACTCTCTCGTTGAGCCTCTCACTAGCTCTTCCTTGCTGTGTCCGTGGACACACTATAGCCTCACTGTTCTAACTAAAGTTGCTGACTTGGTCTTATTTGCAGTTTCTGTGTCATGTTTGCTTCTTGAGTCTGACTGACTAGAGTATTTCTCCTCCCCCGTTAGTGTGTGATGTCACCACATAGTCCTCATTTCTGCGCAGTGCACGACACCACGTGTCTTCAGGGCCACCATATGAGGTGTACTTTGTGTGCAGAGTGTGTCTTTCTTCTGGCCTGTAATTTCCTTCACATGGAAGATTAATGAGGGAAATCTTTATATTCTGTATAAAAACAAAATCAAATTTACATACTAAAATCATTTGTCTAAAATTTTAAGTTGTTTTCAAATAAAAGTTGAAATGCAAAGAATGGGGAGGTGGGATAATAGTGCCTTCTGGCTGGAACATGGCCATTGCCATCATGAACACACACTCTCTGTGACCACCTGTGAAAGACTCACACAAAACAGACATAGAAACAGGAGGGAAACCAGCTGTGAAGAAGCGAGTGAATAGAGTTGGGAAGAGCATACAAGAAGTTAATGTGGGA